TTTTTTCACTATCTTAGAATCAAACATTTATTGTACTCCTCTTTCTGCTACATCATTGAGAACGCTAAGACGTTTGAAAAATACTAGATTATCTTAATAGCTTTCATTCTGTGTCCAAAATTCTACATTCTTATTGATAAAGTCAATGGGTAAATCAAATATATTAAATATATATATGTATATTTGATACTTATTGCGAGTAGTTAAAAACCACCGGCAAAAATATCCCAATTGTAAACAAGAAAAATTTAGTTTGATTCTGAGATAGTGAAAAAGTACAAGTTATGGAAAAATATTTTTTATTTTAATTGAAAAATTATTGAAACATGGCTTTTATTACTCTACATTACCTAATAGTCAAGTGTAAATAGAATATTTATTATTTTTTAAGAAAATGATTAATTTTTTGTCATTACTCAGGCAAAGAAAAAAAATCGAATATAAAAAAAAATTAAGTAGGTAGGTATAGGAAAAAACCGATTTTTTCACGATTATTGATATTTCGTAAAAATTGTATTGTTTTACCGTGTTATTTAAATGGAAAATAAAAGAGCCACCTCTTAATATTGATATTAAGAGCTCAAACTTTACCATAATTTTTTTTCGTCATCTTGGATATTTTCATGGTAGCCAAAGAAAAGAAAATTAAAAGTTTTTTTGGTCCACCCTAGTGTATATCAATCTTTTACTGATAATAACAATAAAATTATTTTACAGTGAGTTAGCAGATCATTATTCTGAGGTGAACAACCGTTCTTCCAGGAGTTTTTTACATGAAATTAGCAAGCTGTCGCAGCTGAACATCTCCAAAATAAGCAATAAATGCAGCTACACCGTGTTAACCGGTTCAAACACTTCCGACAGCACGGAAAGCTTGCTGCGGCAACACGCAAGCCCTCAGGCCCACGAGAAAGACTTGAATTTGGAGTTGGAGGAGTTTTCGACCCCGTCGAGAGGCACCATGGTAAAATCGAAGTCGGCGCATGTCATCAAGAAGAAATATCAAGTGGACATATCCCCGGACGCGGAAAATAGGGAACCGTCGAGGAAGAGGGTCGACTTCGATCCGAACATAAAGAAAATAACTAGGGAACCAATATCAGTGCCAAATTTTAGCATTTTGAACTTGGCCACGCCAGTATTGACGCCTGTAGAAGCGACCAAATTAGTTTACCTGACTGACGAAGAAAACGATTGTGATAGCGACGAAAGGAAGAGGGATGAAGTGGAAGTAGAAACCGTAGAAGTAGAACCTTTAGATCATGGATTGATTATCTACGAAAAGGACAACGTCTACGAGGAGAACTTCGAGATGGACAACTTTGATTCGTTTAAGCTCAGAAGGGGTGAGAGTTATAGCTCGCATCTGGCGTACGCTGATAACCCTTTGTACCACGAAATGATCAAAATGACGGAGAATGAGGAGAACGTTTCGTCCACATCCGACTACGCTAGCATAGAAACTGTCAACAGGTTGTCTTCGGCGAGTAATTACAGCGTCAAAACGGCAACGCCGCAAGAGGAAAACCTGAAGAACAGGCAAAAGGACAAAGCCGGCCCGTTCGGCTTCTGCAACCCGAACTACATGGGCCCAGATATAAAATCGATTCTCTCGAACGATACCAAAGACAAGAAGATGGTGAAAAAAATGCTCACGACGAAATCCTTGGACTGCAACGAACGTACTGTAGAAGATGACGTTTTAGAATTGCAAAATGTTAACGGAGTCATAGACAAGAACACGAAGGTGTTCTTCAGGCACTCCTGTAGAGTTAACAGACCTCCAAAAACCTTGGCGTTGGACTGCAAGAATAATAGAGCGGTTGTGGGTAAGCACAGAGCCCAAAGTGCCAGCAGGGTCGAGAAGAAGTTGGAAAGAAGTTTTACGTGCAACGTTGAGCCTTTTGTTCCGCTGTATGTTTATATCATGGGCGGGAAGGAACAAGGTCAGGTAACAGTTTTTCAAAGGCCAATCTCCATATGGAAGTTAAAATTGTTTTAGGCGTTTAGATGGTATTAACCTTATAACTTATAAGTCTGATCCATTTTTTGGTGATTCGTTTGTACTTTGGTTTTCTTCCACTTTTAAATTTTAGAATCTCATATTAACTTATGCCTATTTGATTTAAAAATTTAAATTAAATAACCAGTATAAAATTGTAGTTATATGTATAAAAAATTATATAAAACTAAAACGTATTAAAAATTAGTACTCTACTCTACAAAAAATGTAAATTATTTACGTATAGTAGGTAAGTATTTGAAAACTTATTTTAAATAAGTATTATACAATTTTGTAGTATTTTTACCAGCAAACAGATTTAGAAAAACAATTAGATGTAGATAACAAAATCAAATTAGACACTAAAAATATCGGGTAGCCAATAATGGTGAGCAGTTTTAAACAATTTATAACAAAAAACTATTTTTAATATATTATTTTGTTTTTAATCCTGGACATTTTTTTTCTATAAATATTTTTACTCAGATTATTCAGTTTTACCGAATTTCAGGCCCAGTTTTTGCAATGTGTATGCATAACGAAAGCAGAAGCAGATGTGTAAAAGTCTGCAAGGCGGAAGCAAAAGTTTATATTATCTATATGAAGAAAATATCCAAAATGTATACTTTGATAAAATTTAAAAAATATATATTTAGTGTTATAATTTGTTAAGATCGCAACCCCAAAATTATTGACAACCCCATACAGGGTGCACCAAGTATCCTTCTATGTAGGGTTTAAAAGTGTCGAAATAAAAACGGAAAAATTGGGGGAAACTGTTTTTTTAGGCATTGGAAAAATTGGCAGAAAAAAAATAAAACTAAACATTGTTGGGCCTTTTTGCAAAAAGGAGTCCTTTGAAAATATCAATTACAAAATAATGATTGATTTATAAAGTTAAATTACAAAATTATAATTTTCTAAATCGAAGTGTCAAATAAAACGAAAGTTATGTTAATACAGCACTGAATATGTTTTTTGCGACCTGGTGGAATATTCTTACTGAATTAAAATAAAAGGAATAATTATTATATTATTTTGATACGGATTGTAGGTATCAGAAATTTTTGTAAATTTTTAGAAAAATTGACTTTTGCATTTTTTCGTATTACCCTTTGAATAAAATAAGAGAAATGCCAAGTCAATTTTTCTGAAAACTTCCCAATTTTTCCGTTTTTTTTCGAAAAAAACGGTTTTTTCCTGAAATTTTAAAACAATACTTCTATCTAAAATAGCATTTTAAAATTAAAAAAAAATCGGTGGTTTTTAAATAATTTGAAGAAAAATTAAAAACTTTCCAAACCAAAAATCGTTATAACTTTGTTATTCCTGTGAAGTTTTGCACGTAAACATACACATTTAACTATAGTTAAATGTATACATTTTTATCCAATTAGTGATTTTTTCGCCTACTAGATTCTGAGTTACCACCACCATCTTTTGTTTTTGCTATATTGAAACCATGTAAGGTTAGATAGAAAAAAATCAAGCAATCCAACTTTGTATCAAACTACATGTTATGGCGGCCATTATAAAAACAAAAGATTGTGATGGTAACTCAAAATATAGTAAATTTGATGAAAATGTAGATTAATGCGTATGTTTACATGTAAAACTTACTTTATTCAAAATTCTCAAGATTGACGAAATTAAAACGATTTCTTTTAAGGTTTTAAGTTTTTTTAAAATGTTTTTAGAATTGTTGAGAGTTTTTCCAATTTTTCTATTATTATTATAATTTTTCTATTATTATTATAATTTAACCGACCTTGTATATAGAAGTATGGTGTACCCAGTATAAAGAATCTTAATATTTTTATTGTCTTATATTTTGAACTTTTAAATAAATCTAATAAAATAACAATTCAATATTTCTTCTACTTATTCTACATTTAAAAAAATGGCGAATGCGCAGGGATTTTTTTTAAAGGTATCTTTCACATTAATTAGTTTCCTTTAAGTTTGAAAATTAGTAGGTACAAATTCGTCCAAAAAGTCCGTTCTAATAAAAAATTACTCAATTTTAAAAAATAAGATTAGGAAAATTAACAAGTATTATGTGCAATATTTTTTTTATTTGTGATAAATTTAAATAATATTATTACATATTGTCGCTCTCAAGTTGTTAAATGTACTTATTTAGGTAGAAAAGTGTCTATATTTTTGTTGATAAAATATCTACTTATTACCTGTAAATAGAATTTTTGTTATTCTGCCTTCCTGAGTGGGTACCTATCTACAAAAGCTATACCGTATCTACACGTTTTCCAGGAGTTGAGGCCGAAATCACATACGTTTGTTTTGTTTGAGTTTAATTTTAAAACGTTTGATTAAATTTCTCAGTTCGGCTCAAAAATAGGTTGCCACTCTTCTTTAGAACGTCAGTATTTTATTATGTGTATATTGTATAAAGTTAATTATTTATCAATTTGGTGTATTGTAACGTGTATTTTATTTGTTTTCATTATTAATTTGTGTTTAAAAATATGGGAAGATAAAAAAATAAATTAGAACTATGTAAATCAAAAATAAAATATCTATTCTGTGTAGAAAAGTAATCAAAAAGGACGTAAACAAAATTAAAAAATAGTTTATTAACAAAATATTAAATGCTTTATAGAATATATACGGGATGTGTTTTTTAACTTAAAATAGTATTTTGGATATTCCAATAAAAAAACATAATAAAATATACAGGGTAGTTGCAAATTATACTAAATAGGAGCTAATGAAAAAGAATGACATGTTACAGATAATGACACACCCCTATATAAACTATACAGAATTAAATAATAAATTTATTTGATCCGATAGATTTACATTGTATATTATACAGTATATAATGCTAGAATAAATTATTTTTGAAATTTTACACTAGTTAATACTTTGACACTTTAGGCACAAATAAAGACCGTAGATGTTTCAATGTTGTTTTATTTTTCGTCGATTATTTTTGTTTATAAAAATTAATAAAATCCTGTGGGTCATTCGCATGTTCTTACCAATTTAGTAAAACTTCTCCAATAAAAACCACTAAAAAAAAATATCCTACCATCAAAGCCTCAAAACCGAATAGAACAACATTAATATTTAAAGTATCGACAGTATCGTAACTTTCTGAATATTCAGGATATAAATCTCCTTTAATGACAGCCTCGAAAATAGTTTGTCGTTTCCATAAATCTATGAGACCCCCTTCGCTAAGTCGACGAAGAACTGAATGCACCATTGGGATTATGGGTGAACCATATCGTATTTTGAAGGATTGAAATGACGGCATTATGCTTTCGCGCATCAAATGATACATTGGTCGTCCTAAAAATAAATAAAGTGTGTCCCTTTTAAAATCATTGAGTGATTATTACAATTTACAAAATTTCTCCTGGATCTCTGCACATATAGAGCCGAATCATAATCATCCAATGAATACATTTGGGCAAAATTATTGAAATAATAAATTATATCATCCCTGGTTCCACTTAAATTGTCGTTTTCATAAAGATGAATCTGATCGATGATTGAAAATAAGCTGGATTCATTATATTTTTTAATTTCATCCAAATAGGGTTTGTAAGTATAAATAGGCATCAAATGTCGTGATAATTCTTCCATGGGGTTTATATCCGTTGATTGCGGTTTGATACTGAAAACGCTGGTCAATTTAGTTTGTATTATAGTACTTAAAATGTATGTGTAAGCCATAAAAGATACGACAATGATTCTTTGATGTTGGTTTATCAATTTATTGAAGGAAATGTTTGTCAATAATATTCTGTAAAAATCAAAAATTATGTTGTGGATAAAAAGAAAACTCCTCTTCCTTGTTGTAATGATTATTATTAAAGAAATTGCTAAAAAGATGTATTAAATAATTTAATAAAAATCTTCCTGTATTTTAGAAGATACAGGTCTACATTTGTTATGGAAACCTTGTTCCAACTTGATCTTAGACCTATCTTAGATCCATCTTAGTCTTATTTTAGACCTTAGACCTATCTTCTAAATAATAGGAGTCCTGTACAATAATCTTACCTAATGGCATAAGGAATATAATAATGGATAAACCAACAGAAAAAGAGTTAACAACATTCTGATAGCTCGTTAAAGAGTTAGCCTTTCTGGAAACAATATGCAAATTATTTGTGGTATGAGGATAAATATTCTCAAAAACAGAATCATGAGAGGCGAACATTTCAGAATTAATTAAAATGGATACATCAAACTCCTTCACAATTTTTTTTTTTTCGTCTGTACTGTTTTGTATGAGCGAAGCCTTGCTCCAAGGATTTTCATCCCGATTTAATTTTACATCGTCGATATTTAAAATGTTTAGTTTTCCTCCAAGAAAACTCACAATGGTTTGAATCGCTGTCACGTCTTTTCCAAAATATCTTTTAACGCCATCAATTTCTTGAAATTTAACTTTGGTAACATCCAAGTTTTTCACTAGGGCATTTATGGTATATCCATGTAAATGCCTAGCTTATTCAGCAAAAAATTCATCTTTAAGAGAAAGTTGCATCTCAGGTGAGCGCAAAAAAGGATTAACAGTATCCATATATGGATTCTAACTTTTCCATTTTCATCTTCGTACGTTATAATTGGGTATTATACTATTATAAACTATAGGTACAGAATTAAATAATACATTTATTTGACCCGATATATATACATTGTTTATTATACAATAGGTATGTAATGCTAGAATAAATTATTTTTGAAATTTTACACTATAGTTATTACTTTAACACTTTAGGCAGAAATAAAGACCGTAGATGTTTCAATGTTGTTAAATTTTTCGTAGATTATTTTTGTTTATAAAAACTAATAAAATCCTGTAAGTCATTCGAATGTTCTTCTTGAAAGATACAAATTTAGTGAAACTTCTCCAATAAAAACCACTAAAGAAAAAAAACATCCTAACATCAAAGCCTCGAAACCGAACAGAACATCATCAATATTTAAAGGATAGACAGTATCGTAACTTTCTGAATATTCAGGATATAAATCTCCTTTAATGACAGCCTCGAAAATAGTTTGTCGTTTCCATAAATCTATGAGACCCCCTTCGCTAAGTCGACGAAGAACTGAATTCACCATTGGGATTATGGGTGAACCATATCGTATTTTAAAGGATTGAAAGGACGGCATTATGCTTTCGCGCATCAAATGATACATTGGTCGTCCTAAAAATAAATAAAGTGTGCCCCTTTTAAAATCATTGAATGATTATTACCATTTACAAAATTTCTCCTGGATCTCTGCACATATAGAGCCGAATCATAATCATCCAATGAATACATTTCGGCGAAATTATTAAAATAATAATATATATCATCAATGGTTCCACTTAACTTGTCGTTTTCGTAAATACGAATCTGATCGATGATCGAAGATAAGCTGGATTCATTATATTTTTTAATTTCATCCAAATAGGGTTTGTAAGTATAAATAGGCATCAAATGTCGTGATAATTCTTCCATGGTGTTTATATCCGTTGATTGCGGTTTGATACTGAAAACGCTGGTCAGTTTAGTTTGTATTATAGTACTTAAAATGTATGTGTAAGCCATAAACGATACGACAATGATTCTTTGGTGTTGGTTTATCAATTTATTGAAGGAAATGTTTGTTAATAATATTCTGTAAAAATCAAAAATTATGTTGTGGATAAAAAGAAAACTCCTCTTCCTTGTTGTAACGATTATTATTAAAGAAATTGCTAAAAAAGAAATATTAAATAATTTAATCAAAATCTTCCTGCATTTCAGAAGATACAGATCTACATTTGTTATGGAAACCTTGTTCCAATTTGATCTTAGATCTATCTTGGACCTATATTAGATCCATCTTAGTCTTATTTTAGACCTTAGACCTATCTTCTAAATAATAGGAGTCCTGTACAATAATCTTACCTAATGGCATAAGGAATATAATAATGGATAAACCAACAGAAAAAGAGTTAACAACATTCTGATAGCTCGTTAAAGAGTTAGCCTTCCTGGAAACAATATGCAAATTATTTGTTGTATGGGGATAAATATTCTCAAAAACAGAATCATCAGAGGCGAACATTTCAGAATTAATTAAAATGGATACATCAAACTCCTTCACAATTTTTTCTTTTTCATCTGTACTGTTTTGTATGAGCGAAGCCTTGCTCCAAGGATTTTCATCCCGGTTTAATTTTACATCGTCGATATTTAAAATGTTTAGTTTTCCTCCAAGAAAACTCACAATGGTTTGAATCGCTGTCACGTCTTTTCCAAAATATCTTTTAACGCCATCCATTTCTTGAAATATAACTTTGGTAACATCCAAGTTTGTCACTAGGGCATTTATGGTATATCCATGTAAATGCCTGGCTTTTTCAGCAAAAAATTCATCTTTCAGAGAAAGTTGCACCTCAGGTGAGCGCAAAAAAGGATTAACAGTATGGATTCTAACTTTTCCATTGTCATCTTCGTACGCTATAATTAGGTTGGTATATTTTATAGAAGCGTACAATCTTATCGTGTAGCTTACGGTTAATTCGTATGGATTTTTGGTAAATAATAAAACTAATTTGAAGCGTAAGTTTTTTAACCGGTTAAAAAATGGCTGTGCGTCTTCATAGTTTTTTGTTGGATCCAGCATAATGAATTTCAGAGGAAAGGTCTCGTACTGAAATGGATTTGAATTAATTCATAAACATGTGCTTTGCTCCACGCATGCGTGGTGCACCGACAGACAGTCCGTTTCGATCTTTTGGCCCTCATCAGTGTCGGGTAGCCAGGTGGCTTAAAGCACATCGGAACAAGATGCCTACCGCTGTTTTATAGTAGCAAGCTACGACAACAACGGTGGTACTTCAGTGAATGATCTCTCAGCGCCATCTACCGTTCAACGGTAACAGTATTGCACATTAAAAATTTACTTACCCAATTCAATATGGTATCTTTTCTGGTATTAAGAATTTTGGCATAGCTAAGAATAATGCCAGGAACATTCATTTTTCTTAATTCGCTTAAAAAACATTCAAATTTTTCTTCATCTACTTCATTGATTCTTTGAATTAAAAATCCACTTTTCTCTTTATAAGTTTGTCCAACCATTTCTTTTATAAATTCCTTCATTTCCGAACCAAATTCACCTTTATTGGCAATATTTTTTGTAAAATTAAATTTTGCATTAATGCCTATAAAAAGTAGGAGTATAAATAAAAACTTCATTATGTTATTCTTACAAATATTCTTTCAATATTAAAATAAAATAATCCAGTATTTTTTATTTAATATCAATATTACCGATAGATATTTGATTTGTCGTCTCAATTACACATTCTGTGTAAAAAATATACAAATAATTAAGAAATTGGGTAGTGATTTACCACAAACAATTTACTAATAATTATCGTAATTTATCATTTAAATTGGAAACTGATTGCCGCCTCAAGAATTACGTTTTAAATCACTAAAACAAGAACACAGATTTCAGGACCTTTAAGAATGCCAAAAACACATATTACAGGAAAAGAGTCGAACTTTCTCTATGGCTCCATGGTCCAAATGCTCGTTAGGAACAAACCTATTATTAGTTTTTAAAAATCCCTAACCAGAGAAAAATCCCTAAGTTGGCAACACTTCAGCGCAACCGAACCTAACCTCAATACTTCAAAATTGCTTGTGTGTCGGTTTAGGTGTTTTATATTGTTAAAAATAATGGCAGGACCCACGAAAAAAACTAAACCGACCGAAAAGGAAGAATCCGAAGAGGAAGTTATGAGCGAAGATGAAGAAAGTGAGGAGGGCACTTACCATGGACAAAATGTATGTTTTTTTTGTTTGTTGAGGTTAACGACATACAAACACACGTGTTTTAATATATAATTTATCTAAAATAATGTTTTTGTAGGAAGTTCAGGCGACTTTTGAAGGGCGTAACCCAGAGGGGCAAGATTTCCACGGCATCAAGCAGTTACTTGTTCAATTATTTTTAAAAGCACACATCGACTTATCTCAAATCAGCGACATGTTAATCCAACAAAACGGCGTTGGTTCCGTCCTCAAACAAAGCTACAACGATAGCGACGACGAAGAGGATGTGGACATGGTCGAGGAATCCGATGTGTTTGGAATAACGAGTGTCTTAAACTTGACATCCCACAGGGAAACACCCTGTGTGGTACAACTGTATAAACTGTTGGAGGAAGTTAGTGGGAAGCATTCGAGCAATGAAGTTCAAGAGAATATCAAGAAAATCTTGCAATCTTCGAATAGGCTTGGATTTTTAATAAATGAGAGATTTGTTAATATTCCAGCCAAAATTTCTACCGTTATGTTGACGTCTTTACACGACGAAATTGAAAGATTCAAGAAAAAAGATCAGTCCTATAATTTCCAGTATTTTGTTATGATTTGTAAAACATACAAACCGAAGGGAGAAAAAGGTAAAAAAAAAACATGAAAACAACATTTAATACAATTTATATTTTTAGATGGTGAAGAAACCTTTACAAATGCTGAAGAAGAAATCTTCGCGAAAAAATCAATTATTAACTTTGAATTTAACGTAGAAAATGAAGCTGATTCAGGTCTGGCTGGAAAATGGCTGTCAGAAGATAAGCAAGTAACGCCCTTTAGAAGAGTTTTGATATTTAAGGCAGATAAATTTAAAAATATAATAGATGAAGTTACTGCATTTGTGCAGTAACATTTAATGTAAAAGTTATTTTTATTAAGCTATTTTTTTTGTATATAATTAAAAAATAAGTTAATACAACTTAACCAAACCTGCTTTTTCTTGGTAATTATTTGATTTAGGTGCCATTCTTTCAAGGGAATCGGCGTTTGATAATAATTCGTCAATTTTGATCATTTTTAGCGGCACAAGATTTATGGACGGCCTCATGTTGCCATAAGGCCAATGCTTCCTACATTTTTTTTTAACACAAAAAGTATTTGTATTATTAAGGGATCTTTATTTGAAGAGTTCCCATAGAATGTCTTCAAAATTTAATACATGATTTTGTAAGGCATCAGGCACATTCACAAATAATTTCATATTTTTATACAGCACAGATTCCAAGAAAATATTTTTTAAAGTTACATTTGTTTTTATAAGTCATTTTTTATTTTGTATCTCACGAAATTTTCTTAAAAAATAAACTAGTACAGGGTGAGTTTTAAGTTGACGCGTTCCTTTTAACAGCGTGTAGAAATCAGATAAACAAATAAATATTTTAAGTAACTTTTTTATCAAAACTCAAAAATAAGAGAGTTATTATAATAGGCCTTCCAAGTTTAATTAAATTTTGAGCCGGTCCTGGCTATTGTTAACAAAAAACATAACCATAAAAATAACAAAATAAACAACGAAGTGCCTGCAATTTATTTTTTACGGGAACGCTAGTGACGTAATAGATAAAAAACGTCATCACTGCCGTGCCGCTTAATTTAAAATTGGCGGCACGACAATAATAATATTATTATATTATAATAATAAATTGTACCTGTATACATGTTTATAGGGTGTCTCTCAGATTTTATTCTTAAAAATTTTGTAATCGAACTTACAAAAATAGGAAGAAAAATGTAGGTATAAGAACTTGTAAGCTCTAAAGCTTTGTTTTCAAGATACCGGGTATTAAAGCTAATAAATATGGTTCTGTTGTAAGTTGTAAGTTTAATATTATATTTAGATTAGGGCAAATAAACAAATTTTTAATGATATCATCATCAGGGTTAACCCTATAGGGTTATTATAATTAAAAGAGATTTGACTTATGTACTTTATAGTATTAAGTTCATACCAAAAGAACTGATCTTTAAAAAAGAAAAAGTTCCAACCTGACAAAAACCACCTAAGTTCCATCTACAACCTAAACAAGATTTGACCCGACGAAAACAATCTAAAAAAAAATAGAAAAAAGAGTGAGGGCCCTCCTCCTTTATCCGGGCTTGGGACCAGCAGGTTAAAAATACCTGGCGGAGTTACCCTCCACCCTCCTTATCATATTATGTACCTAAAATTTCCTAAAACAGATAAAGTATTTAAATAAACAAAAACACGCAAAAAACAAATTAATTGGTTGTATACATACTCCCATATAAGATTCACTCGCACCCTGAAGTTCCAAGAAGTCCATGTCCCAGATAGCACAAGTACGTTCGTAGGACGTTCGTAGGACTTCCACCCAGGACAACCCGAACGTCCTCAGGATGTCCGGGGTCTGCAAAAGTACGTTCGTAGTACGTCCACAGACTTCCGAAATAGACTGTTTCAGATGTCCTCAGGACGTCCGTATTTGACCGTCCACAGACTTCCGAAATAGGATGTCCTCAGGACGTCCGTATTTGACCCCAAGCTGTCCAATTCGGGACATATGAGGACCGAATTAGGACATAGTTTTATTATAATAGGGAAATGTAATACAGTGTTAACAAGTGTTTTGTTAATATATATATATATATATATATATATATATATGTCCGGGGTCTGCAAAAGTACGTTCGTAGTACGTCCACAGACTTCCGAAATAGACTGTTTCAGATGTCCTCAGGACGTCCGTATTTGACCGTCCACAGACTTCCGAAATAGGATGTCCTCAGGACGTCCGTATTTGACCCCAAGCTGTCCAATTCGGGACATATGAGGACCGAATTAGGACATAGTTTTATTATAATAGGGAAATGTAATACAGTGTTAACAAGTGTTTTGTTAATATATATATATATATATATATATATATATATATATACAGGGTGTCCGGGAAAAGGAGGTCAATCCGTTAACCATATATTCCTTAAGTTAAAACAATAAACCTTTCATAATACTATTTTTATTTATTTCTCCATTGAATTTCACATACCTTCATATCTCTAAATTATTTAAAAATATCAAGTGAAAACTTAAATTTTGTAGGGGTTTTTCCATATAATAAAAGTTGTTTTCACTTATATCATATATTTAAATTAAGGTGACCAACTGTGTAAAGGGGAAAACCAGAACAGCGGTGGCCTGTACGAATTTTTTTTTTAAAAAAAGGTGTTGCCCTATTTTTGCCTGTTTTGTGTGTTAAGTTATTATTATTTACTCTTAATTGAGTTAAAAAAAACACAAATTTCATAATAGTTATTTTATATATGGGTCGTTCCACGCCCTATTGGCCACTTTTGAACCCGACCCTTTCGATTTGGCCAAAATTATGTTATATTTTTTCACCCCACTAATAATTTTTCTTATAATGTTTTAGTTTATTTTACCCGACCAAAGACATGTTAAAAATTTTTCAAAAAAATGTCTTTTTTCCCAAATTTTTTTGTATTTTTTCTGAAAAGTTAAAACAAAAAAAACGCCCCATTTAGTCAAATTTTGACAAAGTTTTGTGTATTTTAAAATAAAATTGGCAATTTTTTTGAAAATTCGTAACTTTTTTTTGGTTGGGTAAATATATTGGAAAAATTCTGAGAAACTTTTTTAGTGGGGTAGAAAAAAATTTAAAAAGTTCAGTCAAATCGAAAGAAGTTGGGTCAAAAGTGGTCGATTTGGCGTGGAATTCCCCATATATATATTTATAAATTAACTATTATGAAATTTGTGTTTTTAGCCTAGTTATTTTTAGATATTAGGTATACCTAATAAATTAATATGGATTTATAAAAATTGGAAGTTTATTTTATATGGTAAGCTAAATCAGAACAGACCAGAACCAAAATAGGAAAATCAGAACCTTTACTACCTTCGATTTCCAGTCAGAATGAAGACCTCAAAAACAGTATAGTTCTGATTAAATCAGAACAGTTGGTCACCTTAATTTAAATACACAGAAATTTAACTAAACAGGGAGCTAACTAAAAACAGCACACGCTGTTTTATGAACAATGCCAACATGGCGGATTTCAGACTGCCAACTTAAAGTCACTAAACTGGTTACTTCCAATACCAACTGTTTATTTGGCGGTAAATTTGAAATAAACTCTTACAATTTTTTGCATTAAAAATATAGGACAAATTAAATAATTTAAATGTTAAAGTGGAGAAATTTCTCCAATGGTATTTTTAATTCGTATTATACATTTCTCATATAATATTATTAATTCAAATTATTAATTTGGCCAATGTGATATTTTTTATT